AAGAACCATTCGCGGATGTTAAAATTAGTGGGCAGAAGAATGATGAGAAACAGGATACTTGCACAGTATGAAATTATCTCCCCAGATGATATTTATTATTTACCAAGGGAAAAAATAGAAACTGTACAATAGAGAAACCTGGTAGAACCTCAACCCAACCAAGCAATCAAGGTTAAATTACCAGTAATGCGCTGGCTGCCTAGCTCAGTTGGTTAGAGCACAGCTTTATAACACCAAGGTCATGGGTTTGGGTCACGAGTTCGGATCCTAAACTGGCCAGCCACCAAAAAGCATCACAAAAAAAATTAGCAGTAATAAGACAAATCAGCATCATGTATATCCTGATAATGGTGCAATGAGCAGGGTACATCACCTCTGTGGCGTTCTTCCCCCAAATGCATGCCCTCAATCTAATCATGAGAAAACATCAGAATAACCTAAATTGAGGGACATTCTACAAAATAACCGATCAGTACTCTTTAAAAGTAGCAAGGTCATGAGAGGCAAAGAAAAACTGAGGAACTATCACAGTTTGGAGGAGACTAAAAAGACATGAAAATTATATTTAATGTGGAAAACTAGATTGAATCCTGGACCAGAAAAAGGACATTAGTGGGAAACTGATGAAATTTAAAATAAGGTCTGTAGATTTCTTAATAGTATTATGTCAGGGTTAATTTCCTGGGTTTGATAATTGTGCTGTGATTATTATGTAAAATGTTAACATTAGGGGTTGCTGGATAAAAGGTATGCGGGAACTTTCTGTACTATGTTTGCAACTTTTCTGTAAATCTAGAACTATGTCAAAATAAAAATAAAAATAAATAAATCGGGCCGACCCTGTGGTGCACTCGGGAGAGTGCGGCACTGGGAGCGCAGCAGTGCTCCTGCCGCGGGTTTGGATCCTATATAGGGATGACCGGTGCGCTCACTGGCTGAGCGTGGTGCGGCCGGTCTCAAAAAGAAAAAAAAAAAAAGCATAAATCCATGCACTTGAAAAAAAAAATCTCAGGTCTAGTATGTCCCCAATAGGTTTGGTTGAACTAATGGTGTAAGTATAAAACACATATACAAAATTTAAGGAAACCAAGACAATAGCTGAAACTTTAACTACAAATTCATGTAGACAGCTGCCAAAGACTTAAGGCTTATAGAATACTTGTCCCCAAAGCTGAGGCGACAAGCTCAGGGGTTAGAACACATGGGGAAAACTCAGATCCCTGGCCCAATCTCACAACCACTGCAAGAGACTCCCCCTACCAGTATTTCCCAAGAGGTGCTGCTTTAGCTTCTGCTTGAAGGACTCTGATAATGGGGAGCTGACTACTCTACTCCTTTGGATGATTTTTGGTTTGTGAGCCCAAGTGCTATGGATAGCAATGAGGAATTGGACCCTGAATAGGGCCAAGTAATCCCAGCTACCACGAAGATAAAGCACCGCACAGCCACCGAAAGTGATAAGAATGTGGCCCATTCTAATGCAGGAAAATGTGTTCATGCAGTAACTCTAAGTGTCAAGAGCAGAACAGAAGTTACATTTGCACACTGATCACAGCTATGTTAAAACCTGAATGAATATGTTAAGAGCTGGAAGTTAATTTAGAAAGGTGTAAATGGTTATAGTTTCAAGTTGCCTTGATTTAAAAAAAACTGATATATATATAGAATTTTAAGTGGATTTCAGTATCCACAATTTTTAAAAATGCCCTCCACTAAAGGGCTTGGGGATTGTCATTTTATGATTGATTAAGGATGGCTGCATGGAGCACTAGATTGGGAAAGATTCTAAGGCCTTCCCTTAGAATGTGGGAAAGATTGATTAGTGATGTCTTCCATGGGTGAAGGATTAGCAGTGGCAGTGTGCATGCTATGTGATTGCCACTTCTTCTAGAGACACTCCTAGCTCCCAGTGTCACTTTAATAGACCTTCTGAAAGATGGGTTTGTGCTGTTTAAGGAGCACAGGAAGAGACCTCTTCTTTGAGTTAAAAGCTGTAGGATTTGTGACAAGTCACTGGGACATAAGATGGTATGAAATAAGTACCATAAGGGGAAGAAAAGCAAAGCTCTCCACAATAGGGGTCAGTTTGAGAGAAGGTGAGCACAACAGGGGGGACTTTGTGACATTTGTACTGGGTCTTGAAGGATGAGATTTTGCAGGTGGATATACTTGGGAAGGGTATTTCAGATGGAGGGCACAGCATGGATAAAGGCATGGAGGTTGGAAAATAACAGACCTCCTTGGGAGAAAGCAAGGAGTGTGCATAGGTTAGTAGTATAAGATGAGTTGGAAATGTAGGATGGGACCAGACTGAGTGCGTCCTGAAGGCCAAGGTGACAAGTTTGGATTTTATTTTAGTTAGCCACTGGGGGTGGGGATTGATGAGTATTGAGGCAGGTGATACTTAGAGGAAATGAGACTCAAGGGTGATGAGGAAATGCCTCCTTTCTGGGAGATGACCACCATGAGGGGGTCTCAAGTACTGGATTTTGAGAAGATTCCTTTGGGATGTGGGGTGAAAATCTGAGAAGCTCCATCGAGAACAATCCCATGGGTTCCATCTACTCTATTCAGAAGTTCCTGAGCTCTGGGCCAGGCTCAGGGAAGCAGAAGCCTCAGTCTCTGCTGTCTAGGAGCTTCTAGGCTATGGAGAGAAGAAACATACCCCTGGGAAACAACTAGAGACTAATCCCAGACAGTGTGAGATCCAGCACCAAGGGGAGCACACAGCTGAGTGTGCATTGTTTAGGGTTAGAAGATGAACTCAGATGGGAGCCAGCAGGTCAGGCTTCCTCTAAACTTGATCAGAAGCCTCCGTACTTGGCAGCAGGTGGCCCTGGATGACGTCTGATGTGACCTCAGGCTACGCAGATCCCTGACTCCTGGAAGAGAGGCCTTGATAGAGGGAGGAATTTGACACACAGAAGGGAGAAAGTGGGCTTTCCAGATATGGGGGGTGGGGCAGGACAGGGGCAAGAGAGGACTTGGGATGCCTGGGCGCCCCGACGAGACTGGCTGAGTTGTCAGAAGATCAGGTTGGGTAGGCAGGGGCTGCAACCCCAGGGCCTGACAACCAAGCAGGGATGCCCTGGCTTGGTGCAGTAGGCCAGGGATGTCAGAAGGGATGTGGTGTGACCAGGGTTGGGAAAGGTTAGCCTGGCAGCTGCCAGACTCCTGAGGTCCTACCAGTTAAGGACAGGGTCCCTAGAGGCACATGAGGGGAGTCTGGTAGGCCTCAAGACCTAGGGTAATCCACGGAGTCTGCTACCTTCATAAAATTTGGGAAAATTTCAAGGACTGTACAACTTTCTTTTGCTTGTTTTTCCAAATCTGGGGATCCCCTACCCCAGGGAAGGCATCTCTGCCTTGCCTTCTACCTTCGAGTCTAGTGTATCTCAGGACTGTAGGGAGGAATGGGCAGAGTTGGCCTTGGGACACAATCAGGCAGGGACCTCCCTCGCTGTGCTGGGTCCCTCCCTGCCTTCCTCCATCACAGGGCCCTGGGAAGTTCCAGGGCTCTGGCTGGGCAGTGGGTGACAGTGGCCAGAGCGGAAAATCCCCCACTGGCTGGATGATATCAGTGTTCGGCAGGTCTGGTCTTGGCCTTCTACCTGGGGCCGAGGACTTAACAAATCTGCTTGGAGCCCTGAGTTCGGGTTACAAGGTAGCAGAGAGGATGCTGGCATGGGGACTGTTTTCACTCACCCCCAGTGGAGAGCTTTCCTGGGCCAGGTTAGTGGGCATTGGGCCAGCTGTAGATCACTTCAGGCAATGAGAAGCTTGTAGCTGGGAAGCGGAGTGGGGGTGGGTGGGGGGGAGGGGTAGCAGTGGAGCGTGGGGATGAGGGACAGTATAAATTAGATTTGGGTGGCAGAAAAAGGGCTTGGGAGAGGGTAATGGTGAGCACGAGGAGAACTCAAGATGGGCAGAAGTGCAACAGGATGGGAGGAGAGAGACGATGCAGAACAGAAACAAGGGGCAGATGGCAGATGTGTCCCCTGCTCTCATGCCCCTGCTCCAAGCCTCCCTTCTAGTCTAGTATGAGGGGCACAGCCAGAAGCCAGCGGAGCTTATTCTGTGATTGTGTCCTGAGCACTTGCTGAATTATGATGAGAATTTCTCCAAATGCCCTGTTTGACCTTGAAAGCCTCTGAAGCTGCGCTAAATAGCTCTGACTTGAGCCCTGGGCATCCCAGCGCCACCACCAGCATCAGCACTACTGAACCACTGTCAGCACCGCCCTCACCACCACCAGTATCATAACCATCATCACCCTGGCTACTGAACTCTTAATTCCCCACATACAAGGGTTTGGGGGTGCTGGGAAGCAGGACTTGAGTCAGACCTCCAAGTGCATCACCTACAGATCAGCAGTTCTCAGTGATTTTGCCCCCTGCCCCCCGACCGAGGACATTTGGCAATGCCTGGAGACATTTTCGATTGTCACAACTGGGGGATTGATTGCTCCTGGCATCTAATAGGTAGAGGCCAGGGTTCCTGCTAAGCATTCTACAGTGCACAGGACAGCGCCCATGACAAAGAATTATTTGTTCCAAAATGTCAGTAGTGCCGAGGTTGAGAACCCCTGCCTATAGATCCTATGCCCTCACTCTGGCTCTACCTTTTTCCGGCCCTCACCCCAAAATGCCCACATCGTGCCTCCGGTTCCCAGATGAGAAGTCATCTTTGCCACACCATCTTACGGTCACTTTGTTCTCCTTCTCACTCACATCTCCTGGCCTCCACTGCTTGTATCTAAAAGTCAATAAGATGAAAAGTCTGTTGTGGTCACCCTGAAAAAGGAAAAATACACGGAAACAACTGATATGTGGAACACAGGGTACACCCTGGGTTGGGGTCATGTTTGCCCAGGGCAGGAAGGCAGGACATGGGCTAGATCCTGGGGGTATAAAGGAAGGAGGTGCGCTTAGGTCTTCACTCCACTGTGACTGCAGAACTTGGAGTGGCTTTTCCTCTGTGGCCAGCTGGGAATCGGCATCATGAAGTGGATGGTGGTGGCCTTGGTCTGCCTCCAGCTCTTGGAGGCATCAGTGGTCAAGTGAGTCTGGGGCCTGGCTGCTGGTGCAGGGCACCTAGGTGGGAGCCGGGAGCCCTGCAAGGGGCAGCCTGGCCTGGGGACACGCCACCTGTCTCTTTCTTACCTGTAGAAAGGCTCCCTTTGCTGGTGTTGGATAGGACTCAGAGGTGGGAGAAGACATAGGTCATGCCTTCAGGAAACTTCCAGTCAGAGGAAAAAGCACAGTCCTTTCCTCCAACTGACCTGAAAAAACTAACCTAAAACCAAGAGAGTAGGGAGGACTACTGTCCAAGCAGCCCCCGAGTGGTGGGTATGGTTTCTTCCCACAGAAAGGAACCATCTTTTCTGGAGAAGGGATAAAATAATCCTTTCTAAAAATTTCCTTAAGGCCCCCAATTTACTGGCAGATGCCAAAATCATCTAAGCAGAGATACCAGTCAATGTAAATCTCTGCACCTTGAGGTGTCAGGAGAAAACCTACAGAGTGGTTTTCTCAGGACATCAAGAGGACTCCCACCCTGCCACACTGCCTACTAGTCCACCATTAAAGGGTATCCTTAGGTGAAGAGCTGGCTCTTTTCAGAAACTTATTTTGATATGCAAATTCGGTAGAGGTGGTCAGCATGAAGCAGCTATCAGGCTTCATAGCTCAGTGTGAAGGGGTTTAGTGGAGAATTTCTGGAGAACACAGGGTCCAGAGGAAACGGAGATTAAGATGAGGAAAGAACAGAAAGAAGCAGGAATTCTGGAACCCAGAGCAAGGCCAGGGTGGACCTGCAGAGACCCCTTAAGCAATGGTGGCAAGCAGTGGAGAATTTCTGGAGAACACAGGGTCCAGAGGAAACGGAGATTAAGATGAGGAAAGAACTGAAAGAAGCAGGAATTCTGGAACCCAGAGCAAGGCCAGGGTGGACCTGCAGAGACCCCTTAAGCAATGGTGGCAAGTAAATCTAGGAGGAAGACACCCAGGTGGGTGACTGTGCCCATGGAGACAAGAACAGAAACCATGGTCCTTAAATTCCAGCTCCAGAGCTGATCTGGGCTCCAGACCACCCAGGCCAACTTCCCGGTGGTCCTGGTATCCTGCAAGAGCAGGGATAGGCCCCAGGCCACACAATTAGCAGTGGGGACATAACTAGGACCCTGTCTCTTGAGTCCCACCTAGTGCTGTTCCCCTTACTTCGTGCTCCATCAAGTCCAGCTGGTGCCAGGCATCTGAGGGCCATCATAGGAAAGGACTCTCTTTGGGACAAACTTTGAAATCTTTTTAAAAAATGTACACATGCTTGAAAAGTCCCTGTCCCCTTCCTGGGAAGGTATTTGTGGATATTTGCGAGCCAATGAGCGAGGCGGTAGGAGGACCCTTGAGATGGGGCCCATTTTATTCCACTCTACCCCATTCTGTTCACTCTGGGCAATGCCATTTCATTCCGCATGAAGAATCTCCATTCCATTCCATCCCAGTCTTTCCACAACATTCCATTCTACTCCACTCCACTATTTACTAAGTTCTCACTGAGTGTCTCCAAGGGACATGACAGAACAATATAGGATGGGGTCCCCATCCTGTAGTGGTTTGTTCACTTTCTAAGCATTTCCCTGGTCCCTACTGAAGCCTTGGGGTTTGGGTCGTGACACCCGTGGCCCAAGGGTCTCTCGTTGGCCCCACCTTATGCTATCTCAGGATCCTGGAGGGTTGGGGGAATGCTGGGCTGCCCTGAGGCCCATTTGCTCCTCCATCTGTCAGAAAGGGTTTGGGGGCCAAGGCTGGCTACCTCCTGACTCGGTGCCTGGGGGATGCTGAGGCCCCAGGATGTGAGCACAGGCTGAGTGAGGGGCTGAGGTGGGAGCCCCACAGGCCTGAGAGCCGGGCAGCCTCCCCTCAACAGCCTGCCTTCCCGCCTCCACCCTCCCTGCAGACAGCCACTCCCTCTTCAACCCCAGCCAGTCCTCCACCTACTCCTCCGACGGGCAGACCTTCTCCCTGCAGTATGGCAGCGGCAGCCTGACTGGCTTCTTCGGCTATGACACTCTGACTGTGAGTAGCTGCTGCATGCTGCTCCCCAGCCCAGGATGTGGGGAATGCAGGCCAGGACTCTGAGCTGGATGGGGAGACTTAGATGGAGACCCTGAAACACGATGGAGATGCCAGTGCCCTGGTGTACAGGACAGGAAGTCGGTGCAGGAGGGGCTGGTTCATTCACTCCTCAAGCATTTGCTGAGGGCATGCATGTGCCAGGCACTGGGGACACCATGATCAACGAGACATGGTCCTTTTCCTTAAAGAGCCTGGAGCCTGGTAAATCCAGCAGAGAGAGATGAGGTCAGGGAGGCATGCTGCGGTAGTCAGGGAAGGCTACTTGAGGGGTCTCTGCGGGGACCTGAGGGAGGTAGGTGGAGTCAGTCTTGTCACCTCTCCTCCTTTGTGTCCACCCTCCAGGTCCAGAGCATCCAGGTCCCTGACCAGGAGTTTGGCCTGAGTGAGAATGAGCCGGGTACCAGTTTTGTCTACACACAGTTTGATGGCATCATGGGCATGGCCTACTCTGACCTGTCTGTGGGTGGGGCCACCACAGCCTTGCATGGCATGCTGCGGGAGGGCGCCCTCACCAGCGAAGTCTTCAGCTTCTACCTCAGCAAGTGAGGAGCCACCCGCGGGTCCCTGGCTCCTGTCCCACTCCCCCTGCAGCCCTGGACAACTGAGGCACAATGCTCTCGGGTTTAGGGGTCTCCCAGTAGGCATCTGGCTCTAGCCACTCCTGTTCTGGGCCCTTCCTTCCTGGGCTTATGAATCCTCCCCAATCCCCACTCCTGTGTCTATCCCCAGGCCACTCTGACTTTGCATTCCTTGAGAAGACAGAATCACTCCCACTTCCAGGTGGACTTGGCTTTGAGTGCTGCTGCTCTAATTCTCCCCACCTCCTGGAATTGCCTCCTGCCAGGGCCCCAGCTCACTTCCTGCAAATGTTTTTTACCTGTACACCTCTTTTGTATAGCAACCTATTGCTTCATCTCCTTTGATCTATTGTTCTGGCTTGGTCCTGGAGTCTTCTGGTCTAGGTGCACCACTGACTCCTAACAAGTTGTTAGTCTTACCAACAAACACGAGCAAACAGTCATTTAGTGCAAATGGGCTCCAATCCTAGTGGTGGGTGGGGGTGAGTGGCCTGGGCCTGACTTTTTCTTTTTTCCTTTTCAGAATTAGCCAGGGCCGAGCCCGTGGTGCACTCGGGAGAGTGTGGCGCTGGGAGTGCAGCAGCGCTCCCGCCATGGGCTCGGATCCTATATAGGCACGACCGGTGCGCTCACAGCACTCACTGGCTGAGTGCGGTGCGGCCGGTCTCAAAAAGGACAAAAAAAAAATAATAATAAAATAAGAATTAGCCAACCACCTTCTAGAGACAGTTAGCATCTACTCTCTGTGGCTTAATCACTTGAGCCTGACTTTCAACAATATCACCCTGTACTAATGTTGCTGACTTACACTCTCTGCCTCTGTTTACGATTACTCTGCATGTCAGCTTTGAGGCACCAAGTCCCACTCTCCAGCTACCAGGGGAGGCCCTGGAACAAACACATAATGTCCTTCCTTCCCCTCCACCAAGGCCCCACCTCTTTCCAATCCCCAGAAGAAAAGGAACCAGGTGGGCCTGGCTGGGGATCCTGGTGACACTTCCACCACTGGTATGAAGAGGAAGGCAGAAGACAGTGGAGTGGGGCAGGGTGGGAGGACCAGCAACTAGCGGCTCCTCCAGAGGCAGGACACCATGGGGAAGTGGCATTCCAGAGCTGGAGGCACTGGGAATTCTCAGAGGCTCATCCAGGAAGCCCGAGTCTAAGGTGGAGACACAGCCCCATCCTCAGGGAGCCCCAGTCTGAGGGGGAGACACAGCCCTGTCCTTGGGGAGCCCCAGTCTGGAGCCAGAGAAGGAGGTGTTTCCTTCTGAAGGTGACAACTCCCTTTTCCACGGCCACTCCCTGACTTATCCTTCCTTTGTCTCTTGCAGGCAGCAGGGCTCTCAGGATGGGGGAGCGGTCATTTTTGGGGGTGTAGACAACAGTCTGTTCACAGGGCAGATCTACTGGGCCCCCGTCACCCAGGAGCTGTACTGGCAGATTGCCATTGAGGAGTGAGTCTGTCGGGGGGGGTCCTGGGGATGTGGCACTTCCTTGGAGCAGGCTTCGAGGCACCCCATGTCACACATACCCAGGTACTGCTGGGACAGGGGTGCCGGGGGGGGGATGCAGAGGATCCGTGAGGCCTCCACAAAGGTACAGTGTCAAAACCCTGCTCAGTCTAGAGAAGAGAGGTGGGGTGGAGAAAACACGGAGGAGTAGGGCCTTGATTCCCAAACATAAGAGACCCTGGAGTCCAACCCCACTGGTTTACAGATTAGAAACTGGGGTGAGTATAGGTACTAATTTGCTTGAAGTCCTTACGGTGAATCAGTGACCCTTTCAGTGTTTCTAGAAGCTTTCTTGAAACTTTTTAGAACTAGATCCCATGCCCATTTACGTGGCCTTGCATAGACTTTGGTATGGTGTGACACAGGGGAATAGCTGGTTTGACCTCTGCAGAGTCCTTACGTTCCCCAACTACACCTTGATTTAGTGGCTATAGCTGTTTCTCCCTCATCAGTGGGGAAAGCCCACCCCTGGCTGCCCTGGGTTGGTAGGGTGCTGAGGCTGCCCCTCTCATCATTCAGGTTCCTCATTGGTGACGAGGCCTCTGGCTGGTGCTCTGAGGGCTGCCAGGCCATTGTGGATACAGGCACCTCTTTGCTCACCGTGCCCCAGCAGTACATGAACGCCCTCCTGCATGCCACAGGTGCCCAGGAGGAGGAGTACGGAGAGGTGCGTCTGGTGGGGTATCCCCTTCCCCAGGAGAGGCCAGCCTACATGCATTTATGGCTTCTCCTGGGAACACAAGAATAGCCTAATCATGGCCTTGCCTCTTGCTGCCCAAGGCACCGGAGGTGGGGGGCCTGGGACAACTAGGGCTGGGGGCAGAATGGGAGCCTGGAAGCTGTTTCAACTGGGGCTAAGATGCTTGTGCTGAGGGAGTATGGGAGGTTATTATTAGGCAAGAATTTCTTCTGAGCTGCAGTCACTCTGAGGAAACAGATTAAACAATTGCTGGGCTTTGGGGTAAGAGCAAAATAACTGGAATGTTGGGCTAAGCAAGTGAGTGACAAGGGTTAACCCTTTATTTACACCTCTCTCACCTCCACAGGGCCATGCACCCCTGCCCCTCTGTCCTAAGCCCAGCAAAGGGCTTGCCTAATTAACCCATTCCCACTAACTTTGGGGGACCAAAGGGGTGCACTTTCTAAATATCTGTGTGTTTTAAACGGATGCTTGCAAAGAAAGGGCAGAGATTCAATCTCATAGGGGGAATTCAGGCAAGAGGAATGTTTTTGGGTTGGGGAGATCCTCAGGTCTCCCCAAATTCCACCCACCCTATATGAGTCCCCATGTGTAATGCCGATGGTAACTACATAGGACTTTCCCTTGAAGCAGCATCATCCAGTCCAAAAGCAGGCTTGGGGCTCAGGCCTGGCAGCTGGGGGCTGAGATGGCAGGGCTGGTGGGGACTCTCAGTAGGAGATGAGGCAAGCTGGGACCCGTTCCTCTCTGCAGTTTCTTGTGAACTGTAACAACATACAGAACCTGCCCACCTTCACTTTCATCATCAATGGTGTGCAGTTCCCTCTACCACCCTCCGCCTACATCCTCAGCGTAAGTACTGGTCCCTGCAGGCTGAGCCACCATGGTTGGGGGTGGGAGGATGGGGTGGGGAGTGAGAAATGCTCAGCTTCCTTACCTTGTGCCATTTTCTGACCCCATGCAGATTTATTTCCCCCACTCGTTGATTCTAAACCCCCTTCTCTGGAATAAGGCTATGAAATAGAAGAGTGTCATCTGTTGTCAATTATTATTATTAATTAGCAAGGACATGTTCTGGGCTCTTGGTTGAGCACTTACTAGAGCCAGCCACTGGGCCAAGCACTTTGCCTATGCAATCCCACTTAACTGTCACAACATTCGATGAGGCAGATACTCATTTCTGTTTTACAAATGAAAACTTGGAGGTTCAGAGAGGTAAAGTAACTGACCCAAGGCTACATTGCTAGTCAGAGTAAGGCTAAGGTTTGAATCCAAGTTGATCTGGCTCCAAGGCTTAACCACCAGGCTGACCTGCTCCAAATCGGGGGTGAGAGGGAGGCCCATGGGAAGAGAAACTTCCCACCATGGAGAAAAGAGACCCTGAAGAGGACCACTGCAGCCTGATTTCACCTATTCCAGAAACCCCTCCCCTCAGCCCCTGCTCTGGGGGCTCAGCTGACCTGTGAACTCTCAAGGGCAGAGACCCTGGCTCACTCATTTGTTCCCCTGGCCCAGGACTCAGGGCTGAGCAGTGCCCTGTCCATGTGTGAGCAAATGAATGAGTGCTGCCTTTCTGTGTTGAGCAGAACAATGGCTACTGCACCGTGGGAGTTGAGCCCACCTACCTGTCCTCCCAGAGCGGCCAGCCCCTGTGGATCCTCGGGGACGTCTTCCTCAGGTCCTACTATTCTGTCTTTGACATGGGCAACAACAGGGTGGGCTTTGCCACTGTGGCCTAGACACCTGGGCTCACTTCTTCCTCTCGGCCTAGACACCTGGGCTCACTTCTTCCTCTCGGCACCCCACTCTGTGCGGGGTTCTTTCTGTATTTCCCCTCTGGATTAAGCCTTCTTTTCTGGACTTTCTCTGATAATAAACAGTCTCCATGTTGGCCAGCCTGTTGTTTCTGGAGCAAAGTTGTGACCTACAAGGTGTTCCTGGTCTCAGGGAACGGGGAGAAAGAGTCAGGGCAAACTGGACTCTGAGAGCACATTCTCCTGAGTGGAAAGGAGGTTTTCTGGTGGGTCCTGAGATTCTAAGAGAAATGGGGCCAAGGGTAGGGCTTGGGGATGGGCCCTGTACCCTGCAGAGCTTAGAGTCTGTTCACAGCTTCCCTCTGGAGAAGGGAAGACAGTGGTAGTGACATCAAGAGGGAAGGCAAAGAAGCCTTACTCTAACCGCCTGGAACGCTCTACTGACCCAATCTACCAACTCACGCCAGAACCACTCCAGTGACCTTGGGACCCACATGCATGTCTACTAGCATTGTGACTAGGGGTCTGACGCATCCCAAATCTAGGTAACCATCTCCTCATCTGTTGATCAGGTTTGGACTAGAAGTTTCTCAGGAATGCTGGATGCATGTGTGCACTTGTAACAGTCATGGGGTCCCTTAGGAAAGAGGGTGATGCTGTCAGAAACTTTCCAGAAGGGCTTCAGAAGGCCGGGGCTGAGTTAGGCTGATTGTATTTTTACCCAGACCCCTATGTCCCGGGACCTGTATTTGAAGGAGGGCGGTCCTCAACTGCAGAGAAGAGGGATATCTACTTGGGTCACATGGGAATGAAACCCACTTGCTCTGACCAACTCAGCAAGAGGTTTTATCCCTATGGATTTCATCCCTATCCTCCTTAAAAACCTCCTAGCAAAAGACCCAGAAACGTGAGGCAACCTGGTGTGGGAAGGAGGAGAGAGAAAGCAGAGAAGGATGGCTCAGCACCCTGTTAACTTCCAACAGGGGAAGGTGACATGAAAGGAGATCAGAAAAATTCTGCCTGGCAACATGGTGATGGTGGGGTACCAGCAAGCTTGGGCTGATGAGGGGGTGTAAAAGGAGAACCCATAAGGGGAGCAGGAGGGCGAGCTCCATTCTACAGTCGTATTTTATTCTATCCTCACCTGTGAACCAAGCTGACCCCAAACTTGCCCATTATGCTCAGGTGCAGGGATAAAAGCTCAGGATTCAAGTCCTGCACCTCACTACAAACCGGGAGGGAAACTGGGGTCTGCCACAGGGTAGTTTCTATGACAACAGCACACCATCTGAGACCCTACATCTTTCCTAGACTCCCCAAAAGACAGCCTGCTAGAGGTCCCTCCTTGGGGTCAGACAGGCCACAGAATGTATCATAGCGAGCCCTGGTTCGGGATATTGCAACTGAGAGGAAAAAGAAAACTTGTAAAGGGACAAAATTGAACAAAGATTCCAAGTCAATCTTCAAGTCCCTGTGGGCCTTGGCCAGTAGAACGGGACTACAAATCCCGTCGTGCCTCGCGGGGCGCAGCGAGGACTACGCTTCCCAGCGGGGGCCGCGGAAGGCCCGCCGCGGTCGGGGGGAGGAGCGGGGCGGGCCGCGGGGCAGGTGCTGCCCTCTGTCGGGCGCGGCGGGAAGTGGGGCGCGGAGTGACAGCCGGAGCTTGGGTGCCAGGAGAGGGGCTCGGTGACAGCGGAGGCAGTGGCCGCGGGCGGGACGCAGGGAGCTGCGGCGGTGCCGACGGAGGCGGGAAGGGCAGACGAGAGCGGGCCTCCTGGTGGCGCGGAGCCGGAGGAGCCCGGGAGCGGGCGGCGGGCGCAGCTCGCGGGCCAGGCACCCGAACTTGGGACAAGTTGCCTGAGCCTCGGGGCGCGGGCGGCGGACAGATTGACCTTCAGAGCGAGGTGAGCGTGGCCAGTGGGTTAAGGGCTGCGCGGAGGGTCCGAGATCCTCACCCCAGCCTCCACCGCCCCCATCCCGTGGGTCCCGGAGACAGGTGGGTGGGTGGGGGATGCGAGCTGGAGTGGGGAGCGGGACTATGTGCGCCGCGCCGCCACCCGTCCCTCTGTCCGTCCAGCCCCGGCGCGTGGCTCGGGAGGCGCTGCCCGTCGAGCCGGAGAGCCCCTCCGGCCCCTCCCTTCAGGCCCGGGCCGGGGGCGGCTTCTCTGCGACCTTATGTAACCGGGCGGGAGGGGCCGGGGCGGGCACGGGCCTTCCCGGCCGGGGAGCTGGGAGTCGAAGGGGCGGGAGGCATGGGAGTGAACTTACAAGAAGTTTGAGGGGCGCGTGGGCCGTGCGCCCACTCCCGCTCCCCCGGACGCGGCTGGGGCGGGTGTTGCGGGGGAGCAGGCCGGAGGTAGGGGAGGTGTGCGGGGGCCGAGTCGGGCCGGGCCGGGCCCAGCCGGGATGGTCAGGGGGGGGG